TTTTTAATGATCCTTAGGTGTCATAGTATCACTGTGGGAAGTTTCATGCTTTCTTCCAGAAGTGCACGATTTTTCTCCTTAGCCGCTCTACTAACCGTATGTCTCCGGCTGGAGACTTTCTGTATATAGACCGGCAGCCAAGAGCAGTTTGATCAAACGAACAAGGTACCAATATCCGAGTACATGAACATTTATTATGTAACATAACATGTCAATATATGGACGTCTGCCGGGGACCCCTGCTGGGTGTGCCCCCTGGAGCACCAATTAAGGGGCTGAAAAATGGGCTAGATCATGTTTTGGAGATACCACATAAAACCAACTTAAAATTAACAAACATACTCTACTAAGTATAAAAATTGTATTGCCAGACAGATTATCCGCTGAATATGTCCCGCCAGACACCCCCAAAAGGGTCCTAAATTTAAGGGCTAGATCATGTATTGGAGATACCACTTAAAATCAACTTAGAATTGACAAACATACTCTACTAAGTATAAAAAGTATATTGCCAGACAAATTATCCGCTGGATATGTCCCGCCAGACACCCCCGAAAGTTCCCCCTGTGGACACTGTGATATAATTGAGCTAGATCATGTATTGGAGATACCACTAAAAATCAACTTAAAATTAACAAACATACTCTACTGAGTATAAAAAGTGTATTGCCAGACAAATTATCCGCTGGATATGTCCTGCCAGACACCTCCAAAAGTTTTCCCCCTATGGATATGATTTATCATCAGCGTAAGCCCCACAGTAGGCCTACTTCATAATTTGATTAAGCTGGCCCCACTGCACTTACTCAGCCGTCGTCAAAATTAAAGAAGTTGGATGTATCTTCTTTTTGAGATGACAATTATGAGATGAAAAGTGTTTATAATAAAACTAAACAGAGCGTAAGTAATTTGAAATATTGTAGGATAACTATGACAAAAGTATTATTTTTAAAAAATCCAAAATGGATATACAGTAATACTATACTTTTATATTTAAGGTTTGATAGGGACATTAGGCTGTGTTAATTGATACTGTTGGTCAAGTATATATTGATATGTTATGTTACATAATAAATGTTCCTGTACTCGGATATTGGTACCTTGTTCGTTTGATCAAATTGTTCTTGGCTGCCGCTCTAATAGGCATGCGTATAATAATGTAGAATTGCAGTATGTCTCCTGTCTATGATGCACGACTAGACTTTATTTATAAACATGATCGTAGTTCATTTAATGTCAGCTACATATTACAGCTGCTTTAGTGTAAACTGCTGCGCTGTGGTGTAATACTAATTGCCTGCCTGCACGTATTGCATTATATGAGCAATGTCTACATCTATAACAACTCACTGATCATAGTCAAGTAGGATTTCCCAATATCTAAAATAGACTGTCGTTTCGTTGATACCTAGAAGAATGATGAACGATGATGCGGGAAACAACCCTGTGTAGCTGGTAAAGGTGTAATGTACAGTAAGCCCCGGTTTAATAGTACTGTATACTTTGGAACACCTCTATTCAGAATACAATTCCTGTTAAGGGAACACTTTCACTTTAGTGTAGACTAAATATGGGATATCCATATACCAGGAGAAAAATATCAATTGTAGTGGGCTATTATTAGCAGTTTTACGGTATACTAAGTACTAGGTCTTCTTTGTCATTCCAGGTGAGATTATTTTTAAGGGGAATTTTTTGGTCTCAATGGTCTCTTCTTCATAGGGTCTAGGCCCGTAGCCGGGGTTATGGTTCGTCGGAAGAACCTCCTTTTCCAGCAAACCCTTCTTTTCTGGCGAACCCCCCCCCCCTTAAATTTCCCAAACAAGTCCTCCAACCCAACTAATGCACTGCAGACCCACCCAGATCGTGTTTTAATCATATCTTCTTCTATAGCATTATTTAGACACTGCATAAAGCACAAAAATCCTATGGCTTTGGGGGTTTCGCGGACCTCACGGGGCTTCTACCCTGGACCCCTCGCC